GACATTCGGTCTATCTGTCCCCATCTGAGGGATGGTTTTCGTTTCGTCCTTGGACCCTGCTGCTGGTTGATTGGGCTTTGCTGCTTTGAAGGGTAACCCCGTCTCGGAGCTACCCGCATGCTCCCCAGGACAGGCTTGCCTTTTCCCTCTCCCGGTAGAAGATGCGCTGAAGCCGTTCTCTCCTGGAGGAAAATGCAGCTGGGAGGTGCATCAGGACAATTCTAAATTCAAAATCGAAACAATCTGTACTCAAATCATCTCAAATCCTCCTTTTGCTAGAAAGGCGTAGAATCTGAACATTAGTCGCCACATTTGGAGTCTGTTTCATTGTTGTTCATCAAGGTTCCGAAACTATAACGGGGCCTGTAACGGGGCCTGTAACACTGTAGCTTTTGCATGGGAGTCCTGGGATTTCCTGGTTGTGACGAGGGTAGGGCAAAGTGACGAGAAGGCATTTGACACCCTCTACCACATACTGTCCACACCATGAACCATGGTTGGGAATTAAAGTGTTGCCTGTCCAAGCAAGGGTCCAAGTACCTCCTCCAGTGTCTTGACCAGCTTCTTGTGGATGTGTTTGGATGCTAGAAGCCTGCATTACCAACAGTGTGAAAGTCACACTTTCACGATCTAAGCCACTGTAACTTTCTCCTCCTCATGATGCAAATGATATCAAATGATGCAACCCTTTTTCCTCCTCATGCATTCGTCGGATAGAGGTTATGAACGAGCGCAGCTTCCAAATCTGGCTTTGAGAATTCAGAATACAATGCTCCAGCTTGGCAACTTCCAACTCCTCTTGCAACTTCTCTGAAGCGGCCATATGGCATGTTTGCTGCGACAACTGTTGCCTTATTGTTACTATTTGCCTGGCTCTCTCACATCCATCTTCGTCCAGCCTCCGGAAGCAAGACTGGTTTCCTTTTGCAAGGCCAACGCTTTCGCGCATTGCAGCGTGCAACAAGTGGTTGGATGTCATCAAGTGCAAAGCCTGTGCTCTCTTGAACTCAAGCCCACTTTCTAAAAGCTTCTTCAAAATCATGAAAGTTGTTGTTGTGCTGGAACACAATCTATACCCGGAAGGTGTCTCCAGTCTGTCGGCATGCAAGCGTGTTTTGGCTTCGGGCAACTCCATCGCTATGAAGGTCCGTATTCCCTGAAGGATTTCTGGGTCTCTCTGTGAAAGTGACAGCGTTACACTTCTTGTCTTCGAGTCAACCGAAAGACAGCCTTCAGCATCAAAAAAGCCAGCTACATAATGCCATGACGTCACAGTGTGTGGTGCAACACTTGGTGGCAAGCGCTTCAGTTGCGCCAGTCTTGCACCGCATGATTCCCGATCGCTGGTTGAAGATGGCCAGGCTGTTGCAATTCTTAGCTGCTCCTTCTTCACCAAGCAGTGAGCATGCAGTCTCCCAGCTGCAGCACGAGCCTGCGTCCCGTAAACTCCCCACTTTAGTGTTGGGCGAGCACTGCCCATCCCCGACTTGGAGCATCTAATGCTACCTCCGAAGTTGACGAGGAAAAGGAACAGCACTGAGCTGTTGGATACACTTTGTTCCACATCCAAAGCGATTCCTGATGAGTTTGAGTATGGACAAACGCAGCCATCCCCATCAAAGAATCCTGCTAAATAAGCCACATGAACTTCACCCAGCCGTGCCACTTCAACGTGTATATCTTTGCTTGATATTGGAAGCCCGAAGCGCTTGCCTGCAAAATTCAGGTGTTTCAACTTGGGCCATTTTCGAGAGCTCAAGTGTTTCTTTAGGCGTTGGATGATGACCGTCAACTTGTTCTGATAGCTCTCATGATCGATCTGCAAAGACCTACTCCATGGCCTGCTCGTTGGTGGAAGTAGCAAGGAAGGAACCAAGGATGACGACCAATGACGGACAGCCATTGACAAACCCCGCTGGTGCGCAACCAATGTCTTCCTCAAAGACCTGGCCAATATCATCGGCTTTGGATCTCTGATCTGTCTGATCTCTCAGGCTGCGCCACGGGATGCCCGGGATTCATTGGCAAACGCAAAACACATCTCAGAGCTGTGGCACATCTTCGGGCTCGCTTTCGAGCTACTGTAGACAGTTAGTTCCAAGGGTGCCCAAAGTCCTTGTGAAGGATCATGGTCTTCTACGTAGGCTTGAACATGACAAAGGCTTGTTGGCTTATTGCTTATTGTTTAATGCTTCTTTACAAAATGGCCTAACACAATTTGTATTGCCACGTCCAAGAACTTTTGCCAAAAAGTGCTGCTCATGTTCACAAACATCCTGGAGTACAAGATTACAGAGCCAACCTTAGCGTGACACATGTCTGGTCCAGCCCGGCTCTTCGCAAAATGAGTGTAACAAACCTAAACTCTCAACCCGCTTCTTTCCATCGAGTGAAACCCCTCTTCGAAGCATCTTACATTATAGTCTTACACGTTCCAACCACCATGTTGAAGGAAGTTGGTGCTGGTGGCGCTGTAGATCTTTCACAATATTTTGCTTATTTTGTATGCTCGACCACCCGTGGCTTTCCCTCTGGCAACATGCCTTGGTCGATCCCTCTCCTGTGCTCCACGGAGTTCGGTGTGCCATGCCTGGCTGGGAAGACCAACAGGTCATACGTATCACCTGGAGCTACCTTTCTGGACTTCAACAAACATGCAACATACCCCCAAACAATATTGTTTGGTAGAGGGAAATGGTCTTGAGAAGGGTCTCGAGAAGGTGAATTTGTCCATGTCTGACGCCTAAATACATCTAAATACCCTGTGGAACCATCGATGCTCACGGGGTGAATCTATGTGAATCTCTTCAGTTCAGCCATTTGTGGGATGTGATGAGTACCGGGTACAGTACACTCCAGCTCACTCAAACAAAGCCCAGTCTGAAACTTACCCTGGGAAAACAGGGCTCACTCGAAGACCGAACATATCCGGAGTCCTGCTATTGTTGGAGGAGCCCGCGCAGGGCTGAAACATGGTGAAGCTGTTGATTCATGACCTCCTGGGCTGACATAGAATGCATCCTACCGACTTTAGCAGCGGGAAGGCTAACAGATCCACGGTCGGTGCATTCGTTCTTCCATAGCAGAAGGAACACCTCCCACCTATGTCACGGGCATGGCGAATTTTGGAACCCGGAAACCCAATCTAGAGCCATCCAGTCGCTTGAGCTTCATGTCATCATTGCTGCAGAATCCTACTTTTAAATCCGAAGTCATCCAGAAGTTGGCCAGGAAGCATACACATCCATAGATTCTGAGGGATTGCTTGCCTCCCTGCCTGTTGGATGTCCAAACACCTCCAAACCAGGCATCTGTTCCGTCCCCACATCCAGCCTTTCAACGCCCATGAACCTCGGAAGAAGCGCGTTTCACGTGGCCATGGACGCTCGAGGCAGACATGTCGTCACCGAGAGCCAAAACCTACTCTTTTAACAAATGTCCTGGTTCATTGAGTTGTGCAACCGACTCAAATAGTCAATGAAAGCCTGTTCAGAACATACTAAGCTATTAGAGATTCCATGTAGACTAAACTTTGGACGACTCTAGGTAGAAGTTGATGACATCCACAAAACGTCATTGGCTGAAACAACTTCCACCTGCAACTTGTAAGGCTCGAAACTAGGCTACCAGTACCCTCCAGAAGGTTCGGAAACCTGTGCTGCTTAAAGCCTGCTCGTCCTGTTCGTGTCGAAAATCCTGGCTTGGCCCTATTTGCTCATCTACGACATGAGATTGCCTACATTGACCCCTGAAACCACCCCAACGTATGTAGGTGAATATGAATATGGCAGGCCTCCATGAAGAGTATGATTATTTATGTCTGGGCAAGTCTTTCTGTTCTTTCGCACAGCTTGTGATGTCCCTCGAGGTGCTCTGATCCAATGAGGTGTTTGATCTTGGCTTTCTTCCCCTACTCATTCCCAGACGCATGGGGCATATATCACGACATTGAAGTGGTTTCAGGGGTCAACATAGGCATATATTAGACTCTTAGACATATTCCATACATGGAGGATTTGGCTTGAGTATGAATTGAGTGAACGAGTGCATTTCCTTTCTTCTGTCTGGTCCAGCTAGTCTGAGACAAACCCCGAAAAAGGCCGCAACGAACATGTGGAGATGCCAAGGGTTTAATCAATGCACCATCACGTTGCTCATTCGCAGTGGTGTGCCACAGCTGCACTTTCACTAAAAGAGTTTGAGATTGGACTAATTAAGGCGAGGTTAACTTGTTAAATCACATATACAAAGAAGGGTTGCCAGGGCTTGTGTCAATTTCGTTTTGAGGGTTACATACCGGGTTCGGCTGACCGGCGGCGTCAGTTGACGCATGTTGACACCAACTCTGCTTCGGCACCTCACAGCAAGGCTCCAATTGGCTCACAGCGAGAGAGGTCTCTCTGAGCCCAAAGGTCCGTGGTGGGGAGTGGGTTTTCGACCCGTCCAGTGAGTGGAGAATGGGCACATACTTGGGCACCCCTGTGGACACCCCTGTCCTCCATGAAACACCCCAGACATGGAACTGCTTCGATCAGTTGGGACTTGTGAAACTGAGCTGGTGAAACTGGGTGAGCTGGAACTCAATTATCACTTGCCCAGGACAGTTCACCGGGATAATGGGACACCCCACCCACAGATGGTTCAGGACTAGATCCAGATTTTGCGTTCTCCACTCGCCCACAGACACTGTGCTAGTGCCAGTCGCGGCCAAAGATCGAATCAACAAGTCTTGTTCTCAAATCACACTCGACACTCGACTCATTATTGATCCGTCTTTAAGACTAGTACTGACTCATAAAACTGTCATTGGAGCATGCATGCATTAGACGCTACTCTTGGGATCATGAACCATTGCAACACACTGCAACACATACCTTCCCGACAACGAAAAACTAACGCTGCAGGATTCTGGAATGTTCTGGGACCCTGAACAGCATCCCCCTTCGATAAAGAGCGAAAGCTGACTTCCCCTGGTGTTCCCTTGCACATCGAACTCCTTTCACTCGCTTTGCTCTGCGGCGTCCACTGGGAAAACCAGTTTACCTGATTTCACGTCGAAGCACCTGCCGCTCCATGGCTGCTGGAGGCCATGGATTGACGGGGAGCAACATTATGGGCTGAAGGAGTTTAACACGCGGAGTATAGGTGATATGATTGAACTACAGTAGATTGAGCTATACCTGGTGGTACATGATTGATGGGTGGTAGATGATAGTCGGCAAACGGGCTCATAGCTGAGAAATAAGTTGACAAATGGGTGGTAGATAATTGATGGCAGGCCAAATTCGGTCGTCGAAGCCTGGGGGCATTGTTCCATTATTAAACATCAAGTAAATGATTTGCTGACATGTTCAGCACCGTATTGCATGAACTGGCCAAAGGTTCTAGGTGGAGCATGTACGTAGGCCGCAGGAAAGAAAATGGGTTTGGATCACCTTGGATCCATAGCTCAGGATGATACTGCCGGGATATGTCAAATTAAACATGTCCGTTAGCACTATATTACATTACTATAGACTATATTCGCATGAGTCTACTCACTCGTGTTTAACAACAGTGATCGATGCGCTCTCCAATGCTAAGAACTGTTTTCTATGGACTATAGACCGAACGCCAAACAAATCCGGGACTTGACCCTCTTCTAGAAGCAAGAAACCCTCACTCTACACTTGTACACACGACAAATACAAACAAACCACGCAATCTAATTGAGAAAACATCATGTTGAGGCAGGAATCATACCATTCCTATTCAACTCCATCCACCATTCCTCTTGCCAGTTCCACCGCGAAACCTAAACGCCCAACAAACACTCACGCCATTCATTCCATTTCTTCAGGCCTTCAACTTCTACTTCCACCACAGGGTTCCGCCGGCATCCGCCATCGCTGGCCGCAAAACCCCGGCGTTGAGGCAGGCTATCGAAGCAGCACCATGTCATCCTAGGCGTCGGGTTCGTAGAGCATGTCGGCATCCGCCAGCTTCTCTGCCACACGCAGTGGCACCACGACCTGCAGGTGCCGTGTCTGTTGCACAAGGTGCAAGTCTTTGAAGCTGATCGAAGCCATTCATGGGTGGTCATCTACAATTACAAAGGATCCGTGTGGGATGCTGGTTTATCGTGTCAAGGATAGACTCAGATCTTGCAGATGGTTCATTGATGTTCATTGTTCTGTAAGCGTTTGTTGAATCAAGAATAACGCAATCATCTCTATGTATAATCAGGCAAACGATGGATCTTCTGCATAGGTTCTGCCTGAACATTCATGTTCAAGATACAGCATAGTCTGGAAAAGACTTGTCACATGGCAACAATGATATGTTCAGGTTCATCATTCATCCATTGGTCCCAAGCTCGATCTTGGCATTCTTGGGAAGATATCAGGGGTCCAGTCCTTCTGCTGCCTTGAAGGGACGGCTGTAACTGTTGTGTTGTTTTCAACTCTTGATCCAGGTTCCACTCGAGTTGTCTCGCCCAAACAGTGCTAGGCGTAGCACAAAGCAACTCCGACAAAAGCCTCAACTGTGCCAGAAGGCCTTCTTCCATTTGATGTTTTTTTCTTGTCTTCCCGTGACGCTTAGCCCCTCCGCTCTGGCTCTCCTCTCAGAACAAACCCCACCCTACAAAGTTTTTTAGAACATCTGGTTTAGTGAATTATTAATTGTTTCATTCAGGAGCCCAAATTGGTATCGGTATGAATAAGAAGTTCTCAGATCAAGCGTGTCGTCGTAATCGGATTTGCTCAAGTGACCCGAAAAGGAAATACGTACAAAAACATACTTGAAAATTGTCACGAACAATTCCCCTGAAGAGGATTCCCAACAGCTCTTCCCCATCAATCCTCGCACCTCACGAGAGAAGTTGAGCCCCAGTTCCTCTGCTTGCACCAGGGCACGAAGCTCTCCATAACTCAGCCACCTGACCAGCGAACCAGTCGTTTGCATTTTTTGCCATGTGTCCACGCACGCTATGAGAAGCACAACGTTCTCGGAAGGCGGAAGGAAAAGCTGAACAAGGATCAGAACCGCACTTCCACACTGGAATACTGGAAGAGCACAAACCCCAAGAAATTCAAGCAAGTCACAAAGAAACCTCAAAATGTAAAAGTGGAACACTACTGCCTACCCACGTGCAAATTGTCCACTTCTTGGACAAGGACCTGAAGTTCAGCTCAAAGGGATTCGGGAAATGCTCCTCCTGGTGGGGGCGGGGAGGCGAGATGGCACCAAGACTCGTCCACCAGTCGACTGGTCCCGTGGGCCCCTCAAATGATCTGAGATCGGTCGGATGAGCACATCGTGTGATCCAGAAAAGCATAGGAAAAACACCAAACTCAATTAAGAGGCGACTATGAAATCATGCTTTGCAATTTTTTGCAAATTGTGAGTCATGATGAACTCGGATCTTTCAAACTGAACTGTGCAAGACTCCTCAAAGCACTTCGATGTTTTTGGACGTTGAAAGCATGTTTGAATGTCTGCAAAATGCGCCCCCGTCCCAGATTGGCTCGCTCCTTCGGTGGGCGATACCAGGCGAAACAATGAGCGATCAGGAAGCCTGGGTGGCGAAAAAGCAGGCGGTTCGGCTCTGACGCGGCCCGGAATGGCATCCCAAAAAGTCATGGACAGATCGGCCAAACTGGGTGTCCATGTAGACGCCATGGGGCTGAGCTCATGGGAGGACCACGCAGAGGTCGAAGCGGTGATGGGCACCTTCGCTTCGCGTCGCTGCTCGGCGCGACCAAGGACTCTCGCCGCGACCGAGGTGGGTGGATTTCACGAGATCCTCCCATGTGATTCTGTGGCGAGAGCCCACGGCTCGCTTGGTGTTTTTTGGGGTTTGTACTGAGATGGTTTTGATGTTTGTTGTTTTGGGTGCGTAAACAAAAGTTTGTCACTATCACCGGCATGTTTAAGTTTGGAGGAGGCAGATTGCCACGGCCATGATGTTCAGTTTTGTGTGAAACATCTCGTTTTGAGCTAGAACAGGATTCACTGTCTTTGGTCATACTTGAACTTCACCACAGGTGGCTTTTGCAGATTGCCCAACGCCAACTCAAGACATAGCCTCGATACTCTGGCAAGCATCAACCACAGAAACGCCCACCACGCCACAAAGCCAGAAAACAGAAAACTCGATTTAAATCTTTGATGCCCCCAAATGCTTGCCAGGAACTTGATCAAAGACGAAGCCTGTGATTTTATGCGTCGTTTGCGTGAGATCCATAGGTGAACATGGTCGATTTACTGAAGATTAGTGGGTCAACTCCCCAAAAAACGCCTCATTTCTGCAAGGTCTGGACCTTAAAACCATGAGGGGTCCATAGCTATGGGTTACCAGTCACCCAACCAATAAAGCCCATGGCTGGAATGCTCCCTCCTTTTGGTTGAGAGGATCAAAGGACCCCTTGTCATGGGGCCCCGATTTGAGCTTGACCAAGCGGCTGGGTGCCAGCGAAGCAACGAGGCCTTGGTGTGCTAAAGAAGACTCTGGCGAACCAAACGAGGGGTAGCGTAAACTTTAACAGTATCAAAACCCATGTCATGATACCCTGACAAGACTTGGCACAATTATATATAGACATGTTTGAAGAACAAGATGTTTGGCATTATACGGAAACCACCACTTGGGATCTGAGTGAACTTTGCAGTGGGCAATGGAAAGTCCGCTCGGTCAATGTCAGATCATACGGATGGAACACCCAAAGCGTACAAAAATTGTTCATGGTAATGGTGCAGTTTCTGCGAAAGGGGACCCGTAATGTGGACTTGTTGATTGATAACAATAAAAATCCAAATGGATCCAAATGGGGATTATTAATCAAGAGTCTACATGATGTGCTCCAAGTCGATCTTCACCAGCATGTTCATGCCTTTTCTTTGTGTCATGGCGCAGTCACTGATGCGCACTCCGCGAGACAACTATTCCGCTCGGTCCCGTGATAAAAACATCTCCAGTTATTTTGGAAACATGTGACTAGGACCATTCTGGAACTTGAGAAACCAGGCCCAGTACCAGTGATTCATGATTCTGCGAAACGACTCCTTCACTACAATGAAGACTGGCATAGATAGCCACCCCTTAGGGGAGAGCCCCTGTGAAATGATTGGTGAGCGGTGGGGTGGGCTTCTATCATCCAACAATCCACCTCTCTGAAATAGAAGTCATCGAATCATGTTACGTTGTATGCGCAGTGCTGTTGAAGACACATACAATCTAATATTAGTACACCAACTCTTGAGAAATACGATCTTATACGATCATATTAGCGTTGTTTTTCATCCACCAGAGGAGGCAAATCTACACTTGCCGGCTGGAACTGCCCAGGCACCCCAATACCACACTCTTCCTCCAATGCCCTGGCTGCAGCAACCTGAGAAACACAACAGGCCTACACGCTACCAACTGCGCTATTGCCACACTATCTAAAGGATCAGCCCGGAGTCATGGGCAAAGGACATTGGAAAAACAAATATGGCAGTAGTCAGCAAGAACGAAACAAAAGTGTGGCAAGCGAGGAGCGAACTCATGACCTTAGGATTATGAAACCTTCGCACTACCAACTGCGCTATTGCCACTCTGTCTAAACAGCATTGGCAATTTGATTAGAGCCAGAAGGCAAGGTTTTTACCAGGTGGTAGACCCTCGCCACATTATTTTATCCTTGAAGGAGATCGCATCACTTACATCACGAGAGAAACTAGGCCCCTGGAGTTCCCGCATTTATTCCACTTGTCTACTCCTCAGCTGTCATCCCGAAGAGACCCAACTTGTGGGCTGCCGGCTGACGGTCTCAAGCAGTTGCGAGGTTGTTTCATCCAAGATATGCTCGGTTTCTCACCTTGCCTGCACAGGTTCTCCAACTTGCAGCCTGGCACGGCCAGGAACCTATAGGCATATAATATACATATAGATAATAATTAGATAAAATCTGATCCAAACAACACACGCTTCAGTCAACCCATGCTCTCAGGTCTTAGCACGATGCAAAGAAAAAGTATGACGTGATCACAACATAACTTTTGAATTGTAACTTGGCCTGTATCCTGTAGCAAAGACTGAACAAAGCAGAATCATGCAAAGTCTAGTGCATTCTGTGTGTCTCGTTGAGGACCACAAAGAAACAGATATGATATGAGGGTGATGGTCACACAACGACCAAAGAGAGGTGGGGAACCACAAACAACAAAGTTGTTGACAATCTCCTCTGAACTTAACCAACAATCATGCCAAATCATGCCACATTCAACTTCCGAACTCCCCCAAACAGGTGACTTCGTTCCTCTTCATCTGGTGACTGGAGAGGCGACTTGCAATGCCAACCCCGGCCACCTCGCATCCAGGCTCCAACCCTAGTAAGTTGTTTCTATTCATTCCTGGAAGGCCTTGTTGAAGTGCCGGAACCTTTGTGTTGGGTTTACTGCATCATTGCAACGGCAATAATGCAGAAAAGGAGGGCCAAGTCAGCCGGAAGGCCGGAAATAGGTGGTCTGGAGAATGTAGATACTCTTGATAACATAGATTCTGCACTCATTTTCCAAGTATGAGTCCCTCTGAACTACATAAACTGAATAATGCAAAAGTTATTAAATCCAGGCGAAAGGAATCACCTTTGGTAACCCTTTGTATGTGCTTTCGATTTTGGCATTTCTCTCCAAAAGCCTGACGCTTGACAAACTGCACAGGATGCCTCACGAGTGGTAGACCCAATGGTAGTCGCGGAGGCTCAAGATCTGGCAGCGCAAGCAACGAACGCAAAGGGGAATGATGGTTCAGGGACCTCAAGAAGTTCTTTACATGTGACATGAGTTATTTGTCCCCCCCATCTGAACCCTTGGCAGGTGACCTGTTTTCGACAAAAGGTCTTAAGTTTTAACCCATCCGTTCCCAGAACCCACACCTACATTTTACAGGCAGCTGTATGCACCTGCATTGACTATCTGATTGATCTACGTACACATTCTTGTAAATGAAGATGTAACGACTACCGGTGTATCTTTACATGGAGGACCTGCCAAAGACTCCAAAGCAATAAACAGGATATTTGGCAAGCGTAGATGAACACCATTCAAGCCGCATTTGGTGGGGGCCTTCTATTCATGTGAAGGAACCCTGCACCACCTCCAGTGTCGAACATATTCTCCCTCCTACATCCTCCTACCACCTAACCCGCTTGAAGTCACGATATTATGGTTTGATCCTCCAAGCACATCGCGTTAGGCCCAGAACCACCCGGACCCTCCCGGTGCACCAGCTTGGCGCTGGAGCAAGAGGAACTGCCTTGCGCCTGGGTTCGGAGCGAGCGGCCCCTCGCGGCCCAGGAAGGATTGTTTAAAGTGCCGCATGGTGAGGGAACGGTATGAAACAGTGCTGAATGCTTGTCATGTCCTTGATGTTTGAGTAGAACACCATGTCATGCATGTCATGTCCTTGTGTTGCGCTTGCAGCATTTCAACTACTCCCTTCGACCTCTCGACAAAGAACCGTCGCGAACAACGGGTAATGTGAGCGAATCCACAAGCAGTCTTCAAACATGTCTTGCTACCCACACCTGTCGATCATCCCCATCTGGGTCTTTCAGCTTGTACCCAATGCCCCCTAGTACGGAGATGTACGGAGATGGGATATTGAAATAAGTCTTTGGCGCAACGAAGGGAAGGATGACATAACTATCCGAGTCCGCATCATGCATGTGTCAGCAAAGAGTTTAATCAACACCCATAAGGACATCCAAACAATTGACCCTATCCTCACTTTCACATCGTGGGCAATTGTTGGCGTGCAAGCCCAGCAAAACTTGATCGTCTACCTCTGTTTCCTTTCTCTCTGGCCGCTTCTGTTGTGAACTCAAATCTGCTGGCGCAACCAAGAAGGGTGGAGGCTGTTGAGGAGCAGAAACTTAGTGCCGGTACAGCAGGTAGGTATCTTGGCAAGAACCCCCGATGGATCGCGATAGTTTCTTGGCGAAGAATTGGCGAATTCGGCTGCATTTCAGGTTTTCTAAAGACACCCACAGGGGACCGCCTCACTCCCTGCACCGAACGGTACCATGGCACCTCTTGTACCTCTGCACAGCACCGCTGCCACGGCCGCCGCTGCCACGGTCGGAACGGCCGTGGCCGCCGTGGCCATCGGCCGGGCGAAGAGCCTGGAGCAGCAGATGCACGAAGTCTGTCGAGGCAGCGTCAGGTGGTTTGATGCGGTTTGAATCATGCATGGCGCCTTGGGATGCCACAGTGTGGTGTTCTTTTCTTTGGCAATGACACGACACGCGGTCCGACGCGTACAAACAGAAACCACTCCGAACTTGGCAGCGTGCTCAAACAAGTAACTCAAAGAGTAAACAGTATCTGTGGTTCCAAAACAAAAAAGGTATAGAAAGAAGGCATCAACCTCGTAGATCATGCACTCACTCGCGATTGAACACGCCTTGATTTGAAATGCTTTGAGGGTATTTGGTGTTCGGCAGCCACCGATGACTTCCTACCAAGGTTAACAGGCCTGCCATGGATATGGCCACGCAGAAACATGGCTGAACTGAAGCCAAGCCATCAAGTTGTCCTAAAATGCATGATCGTAGATCAACCCTGCACGACCCGCAGGAATACGATGAAAAGTGAGCATTCAGGAAATCAAATCTACCTACTTCAGCGGCAGGTATAGTACACTTCTATATATATAGTTCAATATTCAATGTTATTCATATGACTGTTATTGATTGTTGATATGTATCTGTGCACGCATAGTCAAAGACTGTCCAAGTATCTAAAAGTGTATTTCAGAGTGCAAAATGGGGGCAGTCCAGTTCTTAAAACCAGAATGCTGCAAGGAAGCTGCTAGTTTTCCCTGGACGGCGACGCAGTCTAAAGCTCTGTGTGCAGCTCCAGCCAACAATAGAGTTTCAATCCACACACATGAACTCCGGCCTACATAATATAACTGGAGGTAACTGGTAGGTAAATGCTGAAGCGATTGCTAGGTTAGAAAACCCTACTTATTACACCATGCGTTGCAAATTGGGTTTTCTTCGATGCTCATTAGGACATCACACTTTCAACATCTTTCAACACACATGCTGTCGCTGTGGCGCTGTGCCGTTGTGCCTCTCTGAACGTATTTTTTCGTTGCTTACTGCAATCGGCCTGCCGTCATCCCCCAGGAGTGGCCAAAGTACATGACTGACTCTTGTGTGAGAGGCCACGCATCAAAAGGAGTCAGACTATCTCCAAGGAAAAACGATGTCGGCATATATATACCCTGCCAGCCGGGACCCTAACTTTTCCTCGGGTATGCGGACAAACCCCGGGTATTCTTGCAAAATGGAATAAAAACTCGGGTTTCCCGGGAAAACCCCGGGTATTCTCTCAATCTGCCTGCTGAGGTAAAGTTGATTGAATTCCTTTGCATGCTGAACAATCCGGGCGGCTATCCAATTTTTTTTTTTTCGTTCCATTTCGTTCCATTGATATGGTTTGTTGACACTTGCTTGAATTTTATCGGGACAAGTTCAGGTGTGAGGTAGAACCCGTGATTTTCCCGTGCTGAATCCGTGATTTACCCGTGCTAACCCGTGATTTCCTTGAAAAACACCGGTTTTATTTATGAAAAACCCTATCTTTTCAAACCCGTGATTTACCTGTGCTAAACTAAACCCATGATTTACCCGTGCAAATCCGTGAAAAATCTCGGGTTTGAGGTCAGATGCCGAACGACTTTTGGGCGCCAAAAAAAGCAAATCTTCTGAACTGACACCCGTAGTCTCGATACTCAAACAAGACATTGCCGCATCAGTATGCACGTGCTCAAATGCAAAGAACGATGAAAAGCGCAAACCCCGGGTTTCCAGTGAAAACCCCGGGTATTTTGGAGAACCCTAGGTTTTCTTCGGGTGTTGGCTGTAAAGGTGTATCTATATATATATATATTGGCTAAGTGTTTGTTCAGCTTGTTCTGTACAAACCAATCCCGGTAAGGATTTGTGCAGGACCACTGGAAACATTCTTGCAGCTCAATTGGTTCTGGACAGTCTTGCAAGCCATGTCCGCACGTCTAGAATCTGGTCTCCTTCGTGCGAATTCGGCAACTGGGCGGGGGCAAGCACCGATTCTTCCAAGATCTTCCAAGTACAGCTTGGACATGCTTGGACCATCAGGTGACCTCAAGATATCAATGCCTTCCAAGCTCCCAGGGTCCCAACCGTAGTGAACGATCCGACAGCAGCGGAACGGAACGTGGCACATTTAGATTCACTGGGAGGTTTCTTGCTCAACTTTCAATCACACACGGAATATGTGTGTTCATTCTGCGCATTCCTGGCTTGCCCCGCCAGTCATCAGTGTCACAGATCTGGAGATCAGTCCTGCCAAAACTGGCATGGCAAATGAATATGGCATGTTTTGTCGATAGGACCTTCGCTCTTCCCTCCAGAGATTAGCAGGTGAAAACAACCTATGATAGAAAACAAAAGAAACACACGGGACAGTCACATGTTTTGCATCGTGAACCCGGTGATTCTGCTGTCCATTTAAACCTAAAGCACACAACAGTCCCCATCACGCACATTGCAAGTCCAATCCACCAAATATGCGAAAGACCTCACCCTGGCACATTGCAGGCACGACTGAGTGTCCAGGACTTTCCGAACTCTCAGTGTCCAGGGTTCAACTGAGCCTGGGTGATCCACTACAGCACTGGGCATCTGCTTTCTTTTCCCGTGCACGACGTGTTTATAGTGCTTATGCTGGCTCTTGTAATTTCTAATGGCTTCCATTGCTTGGGCAAATCTATCAAAGAAACCCATCACGACTTTTGGGGCTTGTTCATTTCTGGTCTCCGAATTGGGAAGCGCCCAGCCCCAAAAATGCAGTGTGTCAGAAGAAAGAGGCCACCCAAACCCAAATAACTAAAAGAAACAATGCCCAGACACTCCATGTATGCCATATATGCCGATCAGTTGGGGTGGTTTTGGGGGTCACTGGGGCGGCATAGATGGCAGTCCCATGGGTCGTGTCTGGGATGGAGATCTCTTTCATCCACAAGGCGAATTGAAAGGAGAAGCCCCAGCCCTCGATAGCCCTCGTTTGGTTCTCCGTTGTGGTATAGCACAGAAGATGCATACAATCCCTGCCAGTGGTCCACTGGTTGAATTGTGAGATCCCGTTGTCACTATTCATGTAAGTTAAATGGAGATGATCTCCTAGCTAATGCATGCTAATGCGAACTATCTAGTCTATCAATATCTAAACATCTAAACAGGTTGATGTCACGCTGCCTTTTTCCCCCTCATAGCACGCTGCGATCACGACCAATCTTGCAAAGCAATGCTGTCTTGCCACTGACACTTCCTTCAGCTGCTGCAGCATAGAGCTGTGGTCGATATGCCAAGTAAGCAGGCATGAAACGGTTCACGAAGCGCTTCACTTCCTTGTTTCAGGGACCAAACAGACAATGTTTGGAGGTCGATAGATATGTTTCTCTGGCTCTATTGTGGAGTCCCGATTTCCACATCCAGCATGACACAATATTACATAGAAACTACTCGACAGTTCTTGACGACTTTCTGTAAGCTGGAAGACATGTATGTAGTCACATTCCCAGAACCAAACACATCACTCGGAGAACCTCCGAAAAAACAAGTCCTCAGAGGACATGCCACCACGTCCAGATCGCTTCATGGCTTCCTCTGCCTGTAGTCTCCAGGTGTACACTTGGTCAATCTCGTCCATGGCGAAGACGCAAAAACAATCGATCAGGTCATTCCAAGCCTCGCTTTGGTCCGGTCGCGCAGCGAAAGTGCGGTAGACTAAAACAGCATCCACTACAATGCTGCCTGCTGTCATGCCTTCTCAACCGAGAAGTGGTGGGCATGCGACTAAAGGATACTATAAAGGTCTATCTGTTGCCATGGTCTTGTTCATCCAAGAAAAATCAATGGCAGAATACATTGGAACATCGTGAATGAGGCTTCTGCTTCACTGTGGGGGAATGTACTACCCAACATCACCCAACCATTCATTATTTTCCGGTTCTTTCCCTCCTGGTACTTCTTCAGCTTTTCGTTCACCAGGCGCAGCCCTGGATGGATCTTGGCTACATCCTGGCCATCACAAGCGCTGAAGCCCACCATCCAACCTTCCACCACCACAACATCGCATGGTGTCTGGACGCGGTCCCAGCGGTTTCGTGGCAACTGATCGCCCTTTCCATTCAATGCAGATTTGTCGAAACGTGGAATGCACACCTCACCTTGCTCCACCTGGCGACAGTCGCAAATGTTTTTTGGCTGACGTGGCAACCCATGCTCGGCCACCCAACAAGGTGGTTGTTTTGGAGAGCGTGGCCAACGGCGTGTATTTAATTCATCTATATACTCACAACAGCAACAAATCCCCACACACACAAAAAAGACAACAATTCAGTGTTGCAAGTTGCAATACCTGTTTGATCCTTTTTGACTAGGCAATGGAAGATCCAGCCTTAAAAGATCTTAAAAGCATGGAATTGCAATGTAAAATTGCAGCAGACTAACAAATCACATTGCTTTGTTTTTGAGACACAGAGAAGAGAGAGAGAGAGCGCCACAGGCATTTGGTAGATGAGAGTGCAGCAACAAAGACTCAAGATGGGAAGACAAGGTGTCTTAACCTATGGAGACCTCAGGGGTCCCATAAAAATGAAAGAAACAAACATCGAAGTGCAGCAATAGTAGGCCTCAGGCCTCAGGGACAATATACCTTGTACAGTAACACTTCGGATAAGGATGGAGTTGGGGTGGGGTTCTGCATCATTGCAAAGTCCGAACATGTGGTACAAGTAGGGGTCAGTGGGGTGGGGTGGTCAGCTGCATGTGTTTAACACAAGATGGATCACCTATACACCCAAGGTGGGGATAGGATGTGATTGTATGTGATTGTTGATGTTTTTTTGGTGGGTTTGGGGGGGTTGTGGACCCTTCTTCACATTTTTATACATGTTTATTTACAGTAATTCAACCAAAATGTGAAAACAAATATGTGGGCTGCGCCGAGTGACGCGCTTCAGCGCTTTCAAGGTCTCTTCGCCCAGGTGCACGTCGTGGGTGCCCGGGTTGCCGCGCAGCTCCAACAATTCGTTCTCGGAGTAGACCTGCGCCACCTGAAAAACAAAGAAAACATAAGAACACCATGGAACACCAACAAACCAGGCATGGACAAACCTGGGGTGCAAATGTCATGGAAACCATTGGAAACCTGGGTTTTGGGAACGAAGGAATCAAACAAAAAATGCTGGGAATTGAAATCTTGATGTGGATGACTCCATCAAAGATGTTACACTCTGACTGGCTAACATGGAAGTGGAAACCACCCTGCTAGTAGAGGAAGAGAATCTTCCCAAAGGCCATTTTCCACTTCATGTTAGTGAGTCGGAGGGTAGTTTCAAGCATTGGCCAAGACATGTCTTTACACCCTGTGTTCGGACTTGTTCTGCCAAGGGTTCTGTCGTGCTGCCCCACTTTCGCGTGTTTTCTTGTTGTGTGCCGAACAATCTGTTTTTCAATATCCGTACCCACCTCACCGGCTCTGCTCACCTCCTCCTCAGCCCCACTCAGCCCACCTCCTCCTGCCAGCTTGCAGGTAAGTAAAAATCGTCGATGGAGATTGCTTGAAAGCTAAGCCCATCAGCATGGAACAGCAGCGACAGCGACTCATTGGCCGTGGTCTTTCCTCGGGGACGACAACGGCAACGCGCTTGGCGAAGAGTTGGATGGTTGGATACGGATGGGAGACTAGCTGGGAGCTGCGTCCTTTTGAGAGCTGGGAAAAGGTATGCAATATCTCCTGCACCATTCCCTAAACTCACCTAGACATGCTAGATGACAACGCTGAAGACTGGCTTTCATCGCACTCCGATAGGTTCAGGGCATGTCTGAACAGGAAAACATGACAGCATGGCTATCAACAACTTTGATCACTGTCACTTATCATGTCTTTCGATAAGCCAAGGCAGGTGTCCGAAGCCTTGTGGTGCGGAAATCCCAAAGACCACTGCAGAAGGTCCCTCACGACTCCTGGCACTCCGGATTTCAATCATTTGGTGTCGCATCCAGAAGTACCACGGCAAGTAGAGGTGGTAAATGCGCTTCGCCATCTCTCGGTCAGAGAGGTTTGTGACATTGGCACTGAGTTGCTTGGCCAACAACTCACCCTTTTCCATCCACTCGGTCAGTGGAGGAGATGGACAGCTGAGCAGCAGCCTGCTATACAACGGACCCTTCTGGATGAAGTCCTCCAGGGTCGGGCATGTTAATCTCTTTTTCAAACAATGTGTCTGCTTGGAATTGGTCCAGTGTTGATGTTCACCCCGCCTAAAACCTGTGTTGCAACATGTTGCAACCCCAGACCTCCAACGTCTATCAATCCCTATATAAGTTACCAGGACCACCAAGTTCCAGCAGCCCCTTTAAAAAAAAAAGAAACTAGCCCTAAACACATTGAACAAACTGGTATATAATGACCAATGATAAAAGGCAACGAGATCTCCTCAAGTTCCTCCGCTGGGCTCTGAAGTTTCCGCTTCGCAGCTTCAGCCGCTGCCTCGGAGGCCAGGACCTCCGCGGAGCGTCCGAGCGTTCCGCCAGGGCCCCATAGCCTCACTTCGCAACGGCAGGTCCTCCAAGGGACAAGGGAACAGGAAAATGGAGACACCACAAATTATTCACAAATGAAAGTGTCCCCCAAAAACATGAATGTTATAATAAGTTCTATAGAAAATTATGGGATGGTGGGATATACAAACACGATGTTTAAGAGCACGTGCATATGTTCTTCCGATTCTAGTATAAACCTATACTTATACTTTGGGTCTTTCTCACTACCTGGATCTCCGAATCTATTGAAATTTCAGCTGACAATCATGAACAAAATCCGCGATAATGAGCTACCAGCTACCAGAAGGAAGCAAGGCTCGTCGCTGTCCAGTTCTCAAAGCTTTGCGCGCAGTACCGGAGAAACATGCAGTCTCTCAAATGTGGCTCTTCGTCGGCAATTTTCCAGACTGATATTCGCTGATATTGTAGTTCATCCGCATATTGGGTACAATTACTGGCAAGGTGTTTGGCTAATAGGTCAATGTGGCGTGGAGTTTTTTCTTATGCAACTGCCGCAACACTTAAGGAAGAGGGGGTGTCTGGAGTCTTCTCCAAGTATGGCATGGTCTATCGTGTGGAACTTAGCTACAGTCCTTGGAGCCTTTGATCAGTTTCCATGGATCTGCCAATCCAGGCTATTGAAAGCTATGTCTACCACAGGTGACTTGCCTCTGGCACTGGGAGGGATCCCCTCAATTAGAGAAGCAAGACTACGATGCTTTGGAAGCATGAACTGGTCCCACGTGGGGTGATGGTCTTTCAGAGCACGGCGCAGAAAATCCCGGGAACAACACAGGGACTCAAGGACTCACCATCACGGCGACTCATGGGGATGAGGGCACACCGTTTTTAGCGCGACAGTCTCCTTATTCTCCTTGTTATACATTTTGCTGGTGTGATTGGACATGGAAGCCGACACAACAGGCCCACTGATGAATGGTACAAAGATCTAGAGGCTTGTGGGTGTCCCATCAACCTGCTGAAGAACGCTATGCAGCCACACGAAGCAAATGTCGGAGCTTTGCTTGCGGACCATGGTCGGCAATTGCGAACAAATAATTATGGCTTTCAAGTCGGGGGCTTGAGACACTGGACAGTCGCTGTATGGGTGGAAAGGAACCACCTGAGGCTGAGATCTATACTCTTTTTAGGATCTGTAGCATGATTCTGGCAACGAACAAAATATCTTAAAATTGTATGACAATACCCGGTCGTAAGCGCATATTGTGATCAGAAAGAAGAATAAGTATACTTACTATTCTATCTTATTCTCACAGGTTGTAATAATATCAACTTAATTGTGGATACATGTATGATACATGTACCACCAACCGTGGACGATGATGGGTTAGTAAACAAGCCTTTTTTCAAACATAGTATATATCATACTTGTTTACCGACCGTTAAGGGCAATAGGACAGACCCAACCTATACGATTCTACTCATGAAAGTGTCATGAGTCATCGCCCAAAAAAGGCCTCATGACGTCTTGAATGTTCCCCAGGCCTAGTGTGGTGCTGGCTCGCCGGGAGCTGGTCCTCTCTCCTCCTCTCAGGCGCACGACCGACGACCGAGGCACCGGCCGCCAGAGCAGCCAGGCCCAAGCGACCCACGTGTCGAGGCACCATGACCCACGACCGTTCTGGGCCAAAGGAGCGGCAGTGCTTTGGCCGACGACCGTGTCCGACACCGACACGGCCACCGGTGGCCACCGCGGAAGGAAGGACGTCTCTTTCGGAAAGGGGGCCGGATCCAAAAAGCGGAAAGCTCTGGCGATGATGTTTCGTTGGAGCGAAAATCATTCGGAACATATATACCCGCGGACCGAAAGTTAGAATGCCGGCTTGGGGCGTCTGGGGGAAGATTTTCGGCCCTGGGGACCGGCTGATTTTGACATTCACACACGGCAAAAATGACGTCGGACCGGCAGAATCACACAAAAAGCCCACTAATATCACAAAACTGTACAGATAGAATGCGGTGCTCACATATGCTGAACATGTTTAGCAGTTCAACAGTGGAACCTTTATGTTGTTCTTAGTTAGGCCAACATTGTTTTGACACTGAAGAAGTGGCAGTAAAGGAAGATCAGATTTTGGCTAGCAACACACGCTGTATTCCCCGCGTCACCCGCTGGCCGCTGATTCAATGGTGAATGCCTGTTTGGCTTCAATGGGATAGGTGTGTGCAAGGCTGGTATGTGTATCATTTGGATCATGTGGGTTTACCATTTGTCTCATTGAGCATATCACATGTCCATGAGTCCATGACATGCCCAATGCGCGCACTTCCTGGTTCCTTTGTTGACAGATTTGCCAGCTTCGCGCCAGTGACCGCAATGGAGAGATTGAATAGTGAATTGCTCGCCCGAGGCTACTTGGGCTCCAAATGACTGACTGTACTTTGAGTGCTCTGAGAACCTTGAAATACCCGCATTCTATGTGTTGTTTCCTCCGCGCTGGTGGGGAAATTATATGCAATTACAGGGAGGCATTCTAACATGATAAAATTTCGGCATTCTATCTGTGGTTTCTCCTGTGCTGGTGGGACAAATATGGGCACACATGCTTTCCTTGCCATTCATATGACCGGAGTTCAACAAGTGCAAATATACTTTGAGAACGGTGAAACACCTGCATTCTATGTGGTGTTTCCTGCGCGCCGGTGGGGAAATTATGAGCAACTAGAGGGAGGCATTCTAACTTCATAAAATTTTGGCATTCATTTTTGGGATTCGCCGCCCCATTCTAACTTTCGGTCCGCGAGTATATATATATAATTACGACACCTACCATCACACGTACGTGAAGTGGACAGAAGTGTCACGGACGCATGGAGTCGATCATTTCTGATCATTTCTGCCATCACACCGGCATGCTGTCCTGCAAACACGCTGGCGACCGGATGTTGCTTTCGTATTTACAGCGTTGAATGATGGTTAAATCTGAGATGAATGGACATCAAGCCTTTTGAGACAATCTCGCTTTCGGCTTCTCGGCGACATCCAGTCCAGCAATTCTTGCATCTACAAGGTCGGAACGTGGCTCCAACCCAGCAGAACATCTCCAGAAACCCCGGACAAGGAGGCCAGTGAAATAGCCATGAAAAGGCCCTTATTGTTCAACGGCCCTCAGCTCACGTCTGCTTTGGAGTCTCCTGTAAAAAGGCGCGGGCGCACGGGCAGCTCTCATTGCTGTGTGGGGACCGACCAAGCCTCCAACGTCTTCTCCGGAGGAGACTTCAGTCTATAAACCAGTTCCTTTTGATGGAGCTCGTATTGAACAAACAAAGCAAGGGAAAACTCATGAAAACAGCATGGAGGCACCTGTTTTTTGGAGTACTGAGTACTGTGTTTGACGAGCACAGATCCTATCCCTCCAACGCATTCCAACCCCATCCAGAACCCAACTGCACGGCCTGGTCTGTGAGGCCAAAGCCAACCTGAGTGCAATTCACAGCCAACCAGTCAACAGGGTTTTGGCACCACGACTTTTCCCGCCGCATGAGTTCAAGGTTCCATGAAACCGCCACCCGAATGTGTCTTGACCCACTAGTCTAATTACCCATGTTGAGGACGTTCTCAATGATTCATTGGCCATACCCGCGCTCGCCCACTCCTTCCGAGATCATATCATATAATATCCTTAGTACTCACACATGCCGGATTCTTGAATTGCTGTTAACTCCGTGCACAACTCCCCACCCTATTGATTCACCGCTCTTCTACACGGAAACTGGACGCCGAAACCTGTCAGGAGCTTCTCCGGTGCGAGGGCGGGCCCCCGCCCCGCGACGCCCCCCGACGACCAGTGTGACGAGGTCACCTGCACCTGTCGAGCCTCCAAAAAACTCACCACCTTGCAACAACTACTCGCACAAATATGTTTGGATTGCATGTTAAGAGCCCCGAGGCTACGTTGGTTTAGTTGGTTTCAGAGATGTTGCCGGCCATTCTGCCAAGGGTCAATATGATGCAACGTCCATGAGAGGCCTCCGTTCTCCTCTTCCAAAAGGCTGGAGGCCGAGGACTCATTGTCCTGTCCGACACTACGGCAGAAATCAAAAGTGTAGAAGGTGCCGAAGCGGTTGTGGCAAAAGAAGCTGTCCACCCTCGGACAAACATGGACCTTGAAAATCTTACACTTGGAAGACTCACACCTTTGGCACAAAAATTTGCTAGTTTGATAGATTTTAATTGGAAAACATCAATTCAATGGGTGTTGGTCTATTTTCCTTCTTCCAACGAGTCTTGGAGGCCTCCCTATTTTAATACACACCCAAATCTACGGTTGTTAAATGCTCGCCTGTGGCAAAGGTAGAACTCTCTCGTGGATGCAGCCTGTGGCATCCCATACCCTGTGCCCCTTGCTTTGTGGCATGGTCTACGTGGCCTACAAGTCTACAAGAGTCTACAATGATGTCACAGAACGACCATTTGGAGCACGTCCAAATGCTCAGCCGACCATTGAATGTGGATGTGGCTTCAAACAGCGTCAGTTGTTGCAGGTGACAAGTGACAAGCTACAAAATAGACACAGAAAACAAAATACTTGCAAAATAAATCAAAATAAAGTTGCTTTTTTAAACACAACCTTCAATTAATTCCAGCATATCGTGACCACATATCGATTTCAAAAGCCCACATATCGTGACCACCGGACCGCCGCACTCAAGTCAATCCCTTTCAAGTCCTTGGTGTTCGAGCGAGTCCGCGGCTCGCCCTCTGCTGCCTGACAAATACGGACTCGACGGACTCAGAAACAAGAAACTCTTGGGTAGAAGCGATGCACTTGTTCCTAGTAGCGAACATTGTTTCTAATAGCTTCTTGATACTACCAGTAAGGCCCTTGCTCCTAGTAGCGATGCACTTGTTCCTAGTAGACTCAAGGGAAAACACTTTGAGATCTTTGAGGACACTGGTTCTGAACAAAATGTAACGCGACAAGAAAGAAATAGTCATTATAAATCTATATATATACAGTACACACAACGATAGAGTTAGAGCGGGAGCAGTAGCGGCAAGCGAAAAATGAGGTTGATCTTCTTTCGTTAACCCGAAAGCATCCGCTGCTCGGTGCGAAAGCCACTGGGGGGTCGGCTGAGAGTTGCAGGAGGCTGGTGGCGACGGGCCAGCTGCGCTCATTGGCGACCTCCACCTGCAGTGTGAGCCAGTGTAATAGAGACAGAGTTGTTTGGAAACAGTAACGAAATACGTCCTCTCCCCTGGAATCTTTATCAAAGTGGATGGCATGGTCCCTTGGATGACCTTTTTCGTCTACAAATAAGTCGTTTTCCGCTTCCATGATCATTGGCAACATTGTTTTCTGTTTGTGTTCACTCCTTCGTCGAATTTGTTCGACAGCTAACACGTTGTGAATCGTGTTTCTTGCTTACACATGCAACAATAGATTGTAGTCCCTCTTCTGCGCTGCCAAGTGTAGTCGTTGGATGACTGAACTGATGAGGGTGGAATAGATCTGGCCGTTGCTGCTCTGCCATCAGCTATAGCTTCTGAGCAGTCGCCATGATCGTCCCTTAAAACATATTCAAAAAAAGAATCTCCCGCGATCCCTTCTGCAAGGACGCAGCCCTAGTCAGAATCTATTCTACCACAGGTTCTACCAGTGCCTCCAGCTCTTTGCTTTTTCGTCTCATACCAAGTATTATGGTAGCTGGATTTAAATGCGGACACATACACACAGTCAATTCTCATTGCATCATGCAGCCTCTTGATCACCCAGTGCTTTTTGTCGCTGCACACTCTCCTGCGTGAACTACGGAAAACTCATGTCTGTCATGTACTTCGGATCTGCTTTTCGCAAACCAACATTCAGATTGCATATGGGTGTGGCCGTGAAAACTCAAGACGGACCAAGACTCAGACTGGATTCCAAAAAACTTGGCTATCCAAGTTCCGGTTTGTGTGTCTATATTGCTCTTCTCCCGTCTCCTTTGCCAGGACTTGAAAAAACGTTGGACCAAAAAGCATGAGGTGCGGCTTCTGTCTTGCCGGTTGAGTGGACACAGTTTTAACAATTTGTGCATTGTGCATAGGCTCTAGACAATTGAGAATAGGCAAACTCCAGCAACACTCAACGGATGGTTATCGAAGGAAACAATCTATCACCCTTCAAGGGGCCTTTTGCTGGTGTGTGGCGCTGCTGGCTGATCGATTTCACAAGTTCTTTCAAGTTCACATGTTTTCTCTTTTTTCTCAGGGACGACAGTCAAAAAAGAGAGAAAATGATCAACATGGAACATCATGACATAATTATCCAATGCTTTATACTGCTTTTAGTACGTGTGTTTTTCGCACCTGACCAGAAAGAGCTCTGACGCCTTCACCCGCGTTTTTGGGGTCCGAGGAACCCGGAAACTCGGGCTTTCACCTTCGTTAGGTGTCACCTACCAAAGAGACGGATGATGTTGAATCCGCCGAAAGGCCTTAACCTGCTTGCAAAGTCATGTAGACTCTTGATTGTATTATGCTTGAGCACCCCATATTCAGGGTCCTTCCAATCCAAAATTGGAATGGTTTAATTGATCAAGAACCGTTCAAAAGACGCTGGTTTGGTCTTCAGTCTTCGCAAACCAGGCGAACACAGGTGTCCCTTTGGACAGCCATGGTTTACCGGAGGACCTTTTGCTCAAATGCATTTTGAGGACTCGATGAAAAAGAAAAACCATGACCTCCACCGCGCCCCGAGCTCCTGCAGCTTCTGCAAGTCGTCCTTCATCTTGGATATCTCATCTCCTTCCTCATCGCAGCAACAGCCCTATGATCCTAGGTCCTATGTCACATGTCCACATCCATTCGGGTGTTTGAGATATATTGTTCCGGTGCCGAACCCTTTTGCAAGCAACTCTGGTCAAGAAAGCTTGGGCGATGTATTCTTGATCAACACTCTTTCAGGTCGTTGTGACCAGGAGGCCATTCATCCAAGCCAAACAAACAAGTGAAAATGGCAAACCATCCATTCAATGATGTCCGCCCTTGGAAAGAACAAAGGGGTCTGTTGGGTACCATGCACGAATTGGTTGTAGACCTCTTCATCAATCAACCAATAGTAAAAAAAGCCAGACCACCTATGATGCCATTCTGTGTTTTCCCAGGAGAACCTGGAAAGACAAACCGACATGAAGCCAAAACCTTTCACCAGCCGGAAAAGGGTCAGCTGAAAACATGTTGTTCTGGAGTTTTTTAGGTTGGTAGACACCAAAACGGTTCTTCATGGTGTAAACAACTATCATTGACTGCTTGCAAGGTACCGCCAAAAGAAATCTAAGATACCAAACAGGGTCTCCTACATTAACAACCAATGGGAGTACATCAGAGGTGCACAATTTGAGGAGTCATCCTGGATTTCAACGAAAACATGCCTCCCCAGAACGGTGCATCCATCACCTTCATTCATTCCATTCCACAAGAGCCCTATGGATGGTCACCTATAGTCACCGGTCACCTGCTGCAGGATATGATTCCATAACTACACCGGTGATCTACACCCCATTCAACATGAACAAATATAACCACCAACATCGAGGCGTAACAACATCAAACGCAACAGTCAAATCTGGTCTTCAGCTGCTGGCAGAGGAGATCTGCAGTTTGGAAATGGCTTCAAGTTCTGGGAAGTTCAGCCAATTCAAGTACTGAGATTAGGACATCCTCTGAGTCAGAGATCTGCAAAAAGCTGGGGGCCTCGCGGTCTGCACACGTCCAAGGCTTGTCTGCTGCCATCGCAGAAAAACTCGAACTGCCTGGAAGATTCATAGGTACAGAATGCTTAACCATCTAAACTAAACCTTATGTATGGTCATCTACATAACTTATAGAACAAGGCAATCCAAAGTAGGTCCGTCACCAACCCCACAAAGGTACTGTCGTCCGGTGATGTTTGGGCGTGCCGCCCGAAAGAAGCGGCACCCGACCATCTTGGATGAAGCTGAAGCGGCCAAATGATCGTACCAGGGACCAAAATGGTTGAAGATGGTTGATGTGAGGTATTTTGTTGATTTGCTTGTTTTGAATGGACGCCGCAAAACCATACAAAAGCCCTCCAAATGCAAACACACTCTCACTTTTCGCGACGCCCGAACATCTCAAAGCACAAAAACACACACTAAATCAAATAGCGAAAGCCAACAAACACAAAAACACAAAACATGTGTCTTTGTTTTCCGTCAATTCCGTTTTCACTTTTCGGATTGCTTGGCATGGCGGCCACGGTTTCTTTGGTGCGTTTCTTCTACTTTCCGATAGCCTTACATCCACCCATGGGTCTCGCACCACCCTGCACGCACGGGGTGTAACGACGAACGTTGCAGAACGGTGCCTGGTGTGCTTGACCTTGGGGCCGTGGCGAACGGTCCCGCAAAGGGTCCCGAACATGACCTAGTCGAGCGGGACTGGTATTGTGAATCCATGCATTGGGGTGGTTGAAAAGGGGACAATCTTATATGGTGGAGTGTTATACCATTGGAGTTTATATATTTAATGTTATATGGAATACACTCCATTGGGGTGGTTGAAATGGTATATTCCAGTCCCATGGAGTGTCTGGGAGATTAATCTTTTGCATGGCAGTCCAAAGTCGAACAACTTCTGCTTCCGCGATGGCCAGGTGAGGGTTATTCCGGTGAGGGGTATTTCATGCAGAAATAAATTAATGTCCTTGATTCCTGCAAAACACAATGCATCTTCCCACTAAGTTCACACGATTCGGGTAAGTCAACCACCGAGTTTAAAACAAATAAACAGCCCTGTCCTTACCAACTCATAAATCTCTAAAGGGTTGCCAATGGTTGCAGTCAGCTAAAAACATGCTAAAAATAGTTTGCCATGATCGGGATGACACGATGGCATGACAAACTGGGAGCATCGAACTTAAACCCACTCAAAAACAACATGTGTGGTGTGATTGTGTTTGTGTCTGTCAAAACCCCGTGCCACTCCTCTCTGTTCAAGAGGTCAACCAAAACCAAATTGTTCTAGGGATTCTAGGGTACCGTCATACACTTCATACACCCTAGAAATGTGGAGCTAAATGAATGAGGACCACCAATGACCCCCCGGCGTTTCGCTCCCCACACCCGAGGACCAGCTGCGTTGTGACCTCCTTGCCTGGCCGCTGGTGATCGGAAATGGTGGAGCGATCCGTCGAGTCCATGTCACTTCAATACATCCGGACATCGTGTGCCTGAGTCATCGAGGAGCCCTGCAGAGTCGACACACGTGCTCTTTTCCAAAGGATGTTGGATATTCGCTGATCAATCCGAACCGTGGTCCCCAGCAAGCCAAAGGAGTTCTGGCACCATGGATTTCGACCCATGTGGCTGTGTGTCAAAACCTCTTCCAAAAAAGCATGTAAAGGTTGATGTCCCTTACAAAGGAATCCGTTCATTTCCCTTCTATCCAGTCTTCCACGAATCAGTGGAAATCTCTGGAAAATGAAGCCGCTACCCCACAGCCTTCAGCGCCGTAGGAGTCCGGAGTGGAGATCGCAGTGGATCCTGGCTCATATGACATTGTCGCCCAAAAGGCGTTGCTTTTTCGATGAGTGAGTAACCCTATAGTAAAATGTCTACTCATGATTAGGGAACCACCCTTGTTCTGCAAGGTCCTTGTTCTGCAACACTAATCGCCTTTGAACAATTACCTTCTTGCCACCCAGCAAATCCTAATTGGTAAGGTCCACCTTCTTCGCCAAAAGAAGTGCAATACTAATCGCCTGTCTTCCATTTCTTCACCCCTGCAATCAGTCTTGGATGATGATTGCTGGATATTACTGGATTTTGCTGGTCAATGTCAGAGTATGCCTCTGTAAAACAGGAAAGAGCATGGATCGCATCCCTAACTGATTAATCATCTAATCAATTTATTGATAGATCTTGATAGATTGATTATTGATTGACGTATTTTCTATTTGGGACAAATTCAATGTTTCTGTTGCAGCAAGTTGCCTGAGGGTTTCCGAACACCCCGGGCCGTTGGATGTTTGGTTTCAACCCATCATTTCGTTCTGATCCAACTTCCTCTTCAACTGGAGGGGGGCAGAACAAAAACAACGAAACTATTGGAAGACTTGGAACTTAAGTCACTGTGTAAACGAAATGTCTGAATTTCCAACCTGCCCTTCCGGAAGTTGTTTCTCAGTTCCCCTCTCACCAACTCCACCCACTGCGGCTAGGATCATCGCCAAGCTGGACCTGCCCCCCCCACCCCCCCCACCAAACACAAAAATACAAAGATTGGTGTTTCTCAACCTTGAAGACCCCGGCACCCAAAAAAGAACATCATGAAGGCCACCCTCCCCATTCCTGGCCGACCCGACCAGACGTCGCGTCCGACCCCAAGCAAACGCTGCACCCGTATCATCTCATGACCAGTTCTTGGCCTTCATGGTCTGCAAGCGCTCCAAGAAACCCGAAAAAGCCTCGCGGAGGCGCGTCGTTTCGACAAGGAGAGGTTCTGGATGACCTTCTGGAGTTTGTGGAGCCAACCTGAGGACTCAGAGTCTATGGGTTCTGACAGATTCTCAGTCTTGAATGCCTCCAGCAGTCTCAGATCAGAGTCTCATCATTGTTTCACATATATCCATACAGTCTCATCATTTGATCGTATTTCCGATATCCATATCGATTATCATATATCCTGTATTATCATCATATCTATTGAATATATAGAAATGTTTAATCGTGTTTTTTTAATGTTTAAAAACTAACTATCAATAGATTTGTTGACTTTCATCGTCGTCATCTTCCCCGTCCTGGTGCTGATCAGAGCGAAGCTGCTCATAGCTGTGCTGGTGTTTCCTGAGTTGGAGACATCCAAAGTGAACTCAATTTGCAATATCTTACAATGAAAAATCCGATTTTTTCAAGAATTCTTGAATCGATACGCTGATATGCAAGTAAAAGAAGTGCAGGCAACTCAATGTGCATTTCAACAGGTTAAAATGTGGCATTGCATGTGTTTTGCTGCGCATACAAGTTCTATATACGTATACCTTCACTACCAGACTTTGCAGCAAGGACATCAGTTTGGTTCAGGAAGGTTTTCATGAAACCAAGAATTCTTTCATGTTCTGTCCATGTTTGTTTGCTTGTGTTTAGAGTTTTGCAGTAGAAGGCTCCCTCAGTTTCGTCCCCAAAGCAAGTTCCTTCTGGTTTGCCTCTAGACCTGTTACCATTCGCTTCGTTATCTAGGGGTGGGGTGGGAGACCCTCCAAAGTGAAAAATATTTCGCAGGCACGTCCTACATGCTCATGGTGTCAAGGCCACAGTGTTTGGGCCCAATAACGCTCAATGCACTGAAGCATGAACCTTTCATGGGAACTGTATCGCCACTCTGTCAAGGACGTGCACAACCCTACCAGGGAATCCAAATGTGCATGTTTTTTTGTTCAAACACCTTCGCACAAAAAAATCCGTGCATCCGGCCTTTTTTGTCAAATGGACAAATTTTCTGGAATTCCTTCGAATATTGGGTTTGATTGGGTTTTATCAATATAATTGTTTGTTTTTTGTCGATAAAATGTTGATAAAGTTTGGATTTCATATGGGTACGCTTTTGTACGGTATTGTTTTTCTGTCCATACGGCTAAATACGCTAATTCGTTAATTAAAATGTCCATACGATAAATTCTGTCCAAATACGGCCTTCGCACAAAAAAAAGTGTTCATACGCCTTTCCAGGTAGTTAAGAAAAATACAGTATGTTGAGCTTCTGAGACATACCCCCAAAAACAATTCAACAAATAAACGGTGGCTACACCACAATTTGCAGAGCTTTCAAATGCCAGTGGACGACCTCCATGAATTGGGGCTCCAAAAACCGCCAAAAACGACCTCCAGTCTGCTGAGTTACCAAAATGCTGAGAAACATGTCGGGACAAGGCCTCATTGAGACAACTTGAAGCTTCGTCATGTCGAATGGATGTTCTTCTCAACGAACGAGTGGTTGCCTGTTGATCAACCAACCCCGCGAGGGCTGGAGACGTAAATCCATTCTGCTAAATAGGGGGTCTTATGTATCAATCGTCTACATTCAGCCCGTTTGGGTGAGAGTTGATGTGTCATTGCAATCGTCTTTCATCTTTATCCTGTGACTGACAAGGTTGCTTTGAGACATGTCACTCCTTGCGAGTCTTCTTTTCTGTTTGAACCCTTTCTTTCTTTCTGTCTTTCTTTCTTTCTTTCTGTGTGGCCAAAGGCGATTCGCCTGCGACTTTTCGGTTTGAACCCCCAAAAATGACCTTGCATTGGGGACCCATTCCCGCCACTTGCTCATTTTGGCTGAGGCTCTTGTATGTCTTCACTATTCGGCTTTCCAGTGACCTAAGGCGCTTGGCTGGGTGCACCAACCACGACTGCACCGAGGTCCCGCGGTGCCACCGACCAGCGCGGGTCGGTGCCACCGAAGCCCAGCCCCTGGGGGGCGTCTGTGGCGTCTGCCGACTGCTTTTGGTTGAATCAGCGACCAAAGAACGCTATTACCGAGACACTCCGTCATTTCACAGCCCTGGTCCCGAAAAACCGGGATTTGAGATGATTTGAGAGAATTGTCCAGAGGATTCGGGTCCGGTCCCAGTTTCCTTCAAGTAAGCCAACTTTGAACCCTTTGAAAACCCTAATATAGTATATATATATATATAATATTAACTAGTACTATAATGACAGATAAAAATATACCGAGTGTTTTCAAACAACCAGCTGTTTGTCCAAAAACCAACTATCAGATCTATCAGTAATTCCAACTACAGCAAGGTTCTTGTTTAAACAAACAAACAAACAAACAGGTAAACAGGTGGTCCAAACGAGTCTCCCCCACGCCCTCAGCGATGCAAAACTGGGTGCCCGGACTGAAGGAAGGAACCCAAGAGGTTCATATCAGCAGAGTACCTGGAGAGATCACAAAAAACCTATGGCAACTGGAAACCTATGGTACCGATCAGGTCAGCAAGCAACTGGAAACCAAGGGATCCTATGGCACTGGTCAGAAGCAACTGGAAACCTATGGCAACTCATGGTCATGCAACCGTGAACATTGTGAGAGGTCATGGTCATGCACCATGGAGCATTCAAATTTCGACCACCGCAATCTTGCAATCTTGTGACGTTCATTCTGGAGACGCACCCATGACTCCTAGTTTGAGATGTCTTCTGTCTCCAAGGTTTGGCAAGAACCTAAGTGCTGACAGTGCAAAGTCATGATGCTCAAAAGCATATGTGAGTCGTCCGAGCCTTCTTCCAAAGGCCTTTACAAAGAAATGACATGTGATGTGCATCATATTCATAACAGCATGTCCTTTCAGGTGAATGAGTTCGACCACAGTTCCTCTAGAACACGAAAGAGGTGCTTCTTGATTTAAGTCCGAAATTCTTTCTGGTCCCAACATGTTTCAACAGAGCAGCCCCCAAATTCGCTACCTCACAGGAAGCAAATCACCTGCGCACTGCTGCCCTGATCGCTTGGTGGCGGTTCGTGCTTGGTTGCCCTCTTTGGCGAACCTGGGAAACTCAGTGTCCACGCTGAGTTCAAGGGGGCAAACAGGATCAAAGCAAAGAACAGGTTTCTGCAACAACTACTCATAGACCAACAGGGTGGGCAATCAAAAATGTTTCACAAGAAAAGAAAACTGAAGACATTCATACGATTCATAGACACCGTCACAGGTGGATTACAAACCCCCGTTCGATGAACAACCTGAGTCATGGAGTTGCTTTGAGAGATACAGCCAAAGCAAACCTTAGTGAATGTGCCACATAAGCCATGGTTCTCCCTAGCGGGTGTTCCTATGCCACTTCTGCCTATGCATTTTTCACACACCCAAGTGCGAGTTCGATTCCTCTTCTTCCAGCAAGCAAAGCTGAGAATTCGGCTCCTCGAGCAAACCAATACATTGCTGCAAGGCCTGCTTCGCTGCTCTGAACTGAAAGCCCTTCAGTTGCTGCAAATGAACAAACGTGGATCCGAAGACCTGAGTATATCAACCTACTATGGTTGGTTTGACAGTTCTAGTTTTACCCACACGTACAAAGTTGGGAAATCCATGCGAAGCACTTTCTACATCTACATGGGCTTGACCTGTTGTCCACATCAACAGAGGCATGGAAAGGTGGCTAGCAAAAGGTTTCTAATCAACAAGACGCTGTCAAATTTTAACCCCCAATCCCAAGACTGCTTTTGGCAACCTTCCATATAATTAAGTCACTATACCTATGTGAGGCATAAATGGTATAACCGCTCTGTGAAAAATGTCACGAGATGTTTTGAATGTCTATTGCGAGTTCCTCCAAGTCAATCCATTCTATCCCCTGTCTCCACCAAAGACAATGGCCTCTCTGACATGCTCTGACCATCCCTCACGCCTTTTGAACCGCAACTCCAAAATCGGTCCCCAAATCGGTCCGCCCCCCCCGCTGCGGTGGACCACCGCCACCGCGGCGGAGAAGGAGCCGAGAAGCGAACCGAAGCGCTTCGGCTGTGGCGGGACAGTATGAATGGCTCAGGAATGGCTCTGCGGGGCTTATGCACGAGAGCGAGCGAAGAGGTTTATGCGCGTAGCCGCGTAGCCCAGACTATAGCGTATATGTATGTCGCGTCAGCTCTCAGCGACTGGGCATGCATCCATGGCCATCCGAGCAGTAGCCTGGCAGGTGAAGTTTGGTGATCAGCAGTTTGGTGATGGCAGGTGAATGATGGTACTTCTACATGCACAAGTCGGGGTGAACACATGCCAGAAGACCTGGCTGGCAATAGCAGTAGTAGTCCTGCACAATGCGCCATGCGGTTTTGAGTCTGCAAACCAAAATCGTGGAGTTGAACGGGCGACCACGTTTGGGCCCAGGACCTCATGTGTTCAACCCAGCGCCCAAATAGAAACCAAAGGCTAGGAGCTGCGCTCACATTGGGACGTCACTGGCCATCACATGGCTGGTTCAGCACCCTCAACGTGATCTGCATCAAATATCATCAAATGTCTTAGCTCAGCACTGCACCAGAGTCTGATTCCCAGCTGTTTGGGCCAAACTCAATTCTATCCCAATTCTGTCCAGTTCTGTGGTCAGACTAATATTTGCTATACTCAAGCCGTGATCTATTGAATAACATAATTTATAGTATTTATATCAAACCGTATCCTCTATCATCGTCGCCTCAACCATAATATAACATAATATAATACATACATGCCCACATGATGATCTGCATCTCGAATGCCCAAAGCTCGGTTGTACGACCGCGAGCTTGCTCCACAGCAAGACCGCAACGGGCTCTCCTGAGTGTTGCATAACGTTGGTCCTCGGGACTTGGCGCAGTTGAAGATCATGCAGGAGGAGGCCTGGTTGCTGAGGAGAGTGCTGTGTCCCAGTCCCAGTCCCACGAAACAAAGACCACCTGTCTGCAGTCTGCTTCTGTTCCTTCTGAAATCCTGTACACCACCTGGAGGAACCATTCAGAGGTCCGTTTTGAGAAGACATTGAGCGCCATTTCTACAGTACCCATCCGTCCCATCCCAATGGGATTCCACCACACGGGTCCCGTGGTCTCCCAACAGGAACACCGATGTCTCGGCCGGTTTTGGGAGCGCTCAACGACGACTGCGGAGTTGCTGAATCAGTGCTGTCTGCAGCGCTTGGTGTCTGTCTTTGCCAACAGGCTCGAAACGTATGCCGAAAGCCCAAAAACATAGCAGCGAGGCTTCGGGGAAAACCTGGGAGACATGACGTTCACCACATGACTTCAGGGCTTCGGGCTTCCACTAGGACTTCCCTAACAAATCAAAAAGATGTTGGTCACTTCCACCAAACACCTGCAAACAGGACCGTATTTCTGCGAGCAGAGCAGCCGAGATCTTCGTGAGGCATCCTGTCGGACCTGAGTACGTGCTCAAGCATACCGAGATGGGCGAAAGCTACCGGCCGGAGTCTGGATGAAGCGTAGAAGCTATAGTTGACCACTGTTTTAGTAGAATACCATATGTTGCGGAGTTTTTTTGGGGGGTGATTGGTGGTTCAAAAGGTTCAAAGAAGAGGTTACTGAGGTTCGATAGGAGCAGTTACCCTCTTCTCCAAAGCAGCAGGAGACAAAGTAGTTTTAAACAGCGGGTGTTTATTTCTATGGTTCATACTTGTCAGACAGAGACATAGAAAGTAAGTATAGTATAGCAAGAAGACTAGTAAGAAGCTATTTGTGTGCATCCATGTGCATCCAGATAAGGCGAGATGCCAGGGTGTGTTCTCCATGTGAACGAGAAGGGCATGCGAAGGCGCTCGCTTGGCCGTTGCTGGACATTTGCAGGTCACAGACGATGTCAAAAGCTTCAGTGTTGGTGGAAGACCAAGAGATCGAGGAGAAGCGCATCAGAAAGGTGGATAAAATCCTCTACTAAAGACTGTCGTGGAAAGGACCGCTAGGAGTGGCAGAAGGGTGAAAGCGCACCATGTGGGCAAGTTCGATTGTTGTATTTTGTATTCTTTCTTCGACTCCTTCCCATAGTTTTTCCGGGTCTGAATAGGGGGGTCTATGAGGGTCTGCCCACTTGCCACTCTCCATTCTTAGTACACACAGCCTGCGCCCCAAAATGCAACTCTTGTGAATTGAGGTACAAGTACGGTACTCATACTCATTTCCGATTTGCCAGCTTCCAGAAAAGAAAAGGTTTGGCATCCCTTCTGAGGTGTTTCGTCTCTGTTTTGTCATCTTTCTCTCACCCCCAACTTCCAAGGACACAGGCCATAGCCAGGCACGGAGTAGGGGTTGTAGCCCTGATTGTAGCCCTGATTGTAGCCACCACCTGCAAACACTGTCGAAACAGTGGCCAGTCTTGCACTGACTGACAAAACCCCGTTCAATTGGCAGTGCTTTCAATCCTTGTAGAATCTCGTAGCGTTATGCACCTCAATGATGATATCCACGACTGCATCTTTATTGCCGACAGAACAATTGGATACTGATTTGTTGTTTATGCACCTATCATCCTGTAAGCCAAAAGAAACGATCATTCAGTTGGTGCTCTCTTCGGTCTCACCTCAGACAAATCCTTCGCGCAACTCGCAAGACATACGGCTGAGCGCTCCTCCCGCCGGTTACTCGTTTCGGCCATGCCCTCCGTCTGCCAAGGTGCCATAAGGATTGTTGTAGTGGCCGTAAGGATTGCCGCCGTAGGGATTACCATAGGACTGTCCATAGGGGTTGCCATATGGGTTGCCATTGCCATAGGGGTTGCTGTAGGAATTTCCTGAGGACTGGCACGACTGGTGCAGGGAGTTGGTCCTTTATTTGCAACAACCCTGGCATTTTAGGGATGAAGTCAATTCTTCAGCTTTCATGAAAAATGGAACCTTGCATCCATCGAAGCATAGATGTTGAAGAGTTGGCACCTGAAGAATTGACACCTCAATTCCTGATTGGCAACAAACTTGATTGGCAACAGACTTGTTTCATCTTGTTTCCACTTTCCCATTACAAAAGCACATTAAATCCAAAGCGTAAAAACTACTCCCCGGGTCCTTTCCCATGGTGTTTCATGGACTAGGACACGACTCTGATAGAAGAAACTGGGATGGGGTGAGAGTGCCTGGCACTCGTTCGGTATCGTTCGGTTTGGGCCGCAAGTGGGCTGCATTTCTACGCAAGACTGAGGCCCAAAGAACTGGCCAACCAAATGCATGTCCTTCACTTGCACACTCCCTGTCTTGTACCACGCTTGTTTTTGGATCCAGCCGAGTGTGAGAAGACTCGCAGCGGTGGTACAAAAAACACCGTCCCCCACGCCGAGATGCCGTAGTGACCATATGTGGAGCTACTGCCACCCCAGGCATTCTCATCCTGGCAAGCATCACGTGTTTTTTGTTCGCCAAAATCCTGGTGGAGGCTGGTTGAGTGGCACCATCGAAATAAACAATAAACAAACAACAAACCAACAAAAAAACACCTCCCCAGCACCATCCACTTCACACGTTTGGAGTGACACCATTCTGAGCCAATCAGCCTTCTATATAATCCCGCCCTGACAAAAAAGAAAACAAAAACACGTGCGGATCGGTGCGCGTTGTCGACCTCCCGGCCTTTTCGACCTCGTCTCCTTCTTCCAAGGCGGCGTGAAACTTTTCCACTGCATCCTGGCGTGGTTCCCCAAGAAACATGAATTGCTCACGGCCCAGTGGGCAGGTCTGATGAGATGGAAAAAACAAAGTATAGGACCAGTGAATCATACTGAATCCATAAACTGGAATGCAGATCTTCAAGGGCTTGAATGCAGATTTTCTGCCACTGCCAAGGAAGTCTGCCCTTTCCATGGTATACCTTGGGTTTGTTTGGTGATTGATATGTGTTGATCCACCGATCCACCATGATGCATGATGCCATCAAAGGCATGAATGAATGTAAGCCAGCTGCTAGCTGCTCGTCTCTCGTCTCCTCTGCTTCAAGATTGGCCACCACCTGCTGCTGCAGCATGCTCAAGCACCCCTGGAAGGCTGGCCAAGGTTCCGGCGGCAGTGAGATAGACTTTCCTAGTTTTGACTCAGGTTGCCGTTCCATTGCCGTGAAGGAAGAACATCCTTGTGGGATGCTGCTTAGATCCTTCCTGAGTAGACCAAAACTTGCGAGCCCCAAATATGCATAGATATGCCCTCCATACACCCTCCATATTCCATCCCATTAGTTACTCCTGGATGCTTTTCATGCTGAGCTGTAGAGCCCTGGGCCCTGTGGGTTCACTTGCACAACTGTCTGAGTGCGGATTCCCACATCACAAGCACGTTTGTTCTTTGGACAGACTCACCTGCCAGCAGGATGACACTCAGGATGACATAAGTCTTCCCAAACATGTCCACCTCCCATTTTTGGCAAAGCCACAAAATGAAACAGGCTCCCTACTGTACTATTGGGGGGTTCCCTCGCAGGGCGGTAACAGTTTGCTGCGAATATCTTCTGAAAAATGACCCTGGAGGCTTGCTGCCAATCTGGCCGAAAATGGCACTGACGGAGCTGAGTCTGATGGATGTGAGTTGTAGTCGCAGATAATACATATATATAGACGTTTGATGACTTTTGATTGTACAGTATCTCAACACCCCATAATGATAATATGAAGAGGTCTTACAATCCAAATGGGTCCTTTACACTTCCCTTTCCCAGCGCAGTAGTTTTCGTAGTGTACATATTAATGCAGTTTCCTTCACATGTGTCACCTCCGACCACAACAGTTGGCAAGGGATCAGAGCGTGGGAGCGAGACCGCGAGTTCGTGCATCCAAATGGGGAGTATTTATCAAGAGTCTACATGATTGGCAGTGGCACAACTCCTCAGCAATCTCATCTGGCTGTGGATCAACAGTGGCCAAGACAAGAACCCTGGGTCAGCAGTGGTTGTTTCAATTAAACAGCTTTGGGTTGTGTCAAAACACGGCCGCCGCACCCCTCTTCTGGTGAACCATCCAGTCCGCAGTCCGAAGTCCGCTGCCTGTCCGACGCAGTCCGCATCTTCTCCCAGCGCAAAGCGGAACGCCTCAGCGGAAGATCCACGGTGGCTCACCAAAGAGATGATGAGCTTCAGAAAGTTCCAGTTGATTGTACGTTCTATCAGTTCAAGTCTAGATAGAAAAGTTGATCCCCACAAAAAAGTTTTGGAAACCGTTTCTATCTATTTGGGGATCAGTCTATAATATTCTGATGTACTTGGAGGGGCACTTAGCTAAAAACACTTCTTTAATAGTTGCCATGTTCAAACGCCTTTTTGGTGTTGCTTCTCTGAGCTGCTGGCCCAAATGCACAGCAGGCTCCGGCCCAACATGGTTTGCCTCAGAACGACCAAGGGACCGCCTGGACCGTCGATGGGCAGAAATGGGAGAGGGATGTTCGGATATTCCTGCGTCTTTATTACTAGTTACTAGAAGCGATGCACTTGTTCCTAGTAGCTTCTTGTTCCTAGTTGAATTTTGCGGATGGACCTTGAGATCTTCCTGCAAAACTGTTCATCTGGAATCAATTGTGTCCCTCCTTCTTTCCGCGCTCATCTGCTTGGCAACGACGTGTCCGTGTCGACCTGTCTATCTGCGCCGTTTGGCATCCAAGTGGCCTTTTGGGGGGCGCAACCGGAAAGCGTTAGTCAGCGCAAAAGGTGAGACGTAAAAACCGCTGGAGCCAGCTTGGGCGTCACATCGGTTCGGATCACCTCCTACGGAACGATCGTGGCGGATTGAGTGCGAATCCTTAGCTAAACGAAGTTATGAGGGGTTCCAGGCCCGGGCAAAATTCCCTCAAGACGATGTTCACCATGGTTTTATGATGTTTTATGCGGCACATCGCCTGGTCGATAGCAACTTGTCGGGCTAAGTCCGGCTAGATTTAAGGTGGGTTGTAAAGTTGGATGCGGGCCGAAGCACCAACATGCTGCGCCTTGATGGTCTCGCTCGCCGTGCGAGTTGTGTCAACTGCCTTAGGTGTAGTCGGCGAAAGATCAACACCCTTCAGCCCATAGATTGGTCAGGTTAGCGAAACCTCATCCAGTAAACATTTAGGAATGCATACAAATACACCATATTCAATAGCCCATCTATACTCCCTGGTATATACCTCATTTTCTTGCGCCCTTGATGCTCCCCGCTCCAGCAAACATCCAATGTAAAGCAAAAATAAAGCAAACCTTGTTCTTCATGCACCTGGTGTTATTGGTTTGCCCAAACAACCCCAATCTCGGTCCTCAGGAGGTTGAGTCCTGATGTGTTTGAGGATAGATCGGGCAACCACATTTCACCATCTCAATGGTTGCCCGAATACGTACGTTACATTCACATGATTGTTAAATGTATTTGTGTGTGTTTCAGACCTTTCTCGCTGAGCAGTTGCTGAACTTTCGAAAAGCAAGTGCCTGGTAGAAAGAGAACTTTCTCTATGGCCAGCAACTCGGATGCTCCAACCATAACATATCCTTCAATGATGTCCATACCTCTCTGGGTGTTTACCATTGGGCAACAAGGACATTGGGATGAAACATTGATGGGCCAGAGCCTCTTATATAAGCAATCTCAAGACAGGTCAAGCCTTGTGACTGGCCCGGAAAAGCGCAGAAATCGCCTTCCCATCCAGGTTTGGGAAGTTTCCATCACTGATCAGCGATGGACCGCGGGTTTTGCCAACTTCGCTTTGTTTTACAAGCGAAACAAAGAGGAACCGTATGGTGGCCCGGCTGATTTGCTCCTTCTGTAGCCGTCTAGTCGTCCACCGCAAAGTCTCCTTTTCTGGGGAGCTGACACGTTGGCAATGTTCCATGACACCACCTCAGGCCACGAGTTGCTGAGAGACTGAAAGACTTGCTCCCAAGCAGGTGAGTGGCCTGGGGAACAGGTCGATCAACATTCACTGGCCCTTGCGAAAATCGAAGTCGGGCAGTTCGGGTCCCTGCACACCCTTTGGGAGTTTGTAAAGCTTGCATGATGGTATCAAGTAACAAAGGGTTAACTGTATGTAGCCGTCGTGTATGTTCGAACACTGTAACCATTGATTTCTCCATAAATAACTATATTACGCAGTATTATATGCGTCACAAAGCCTTCGTTGACACCCAACTTTAAGTTCACCTTTCAGCCGTCTGCCCGACCACCTGCCTTTATTGTTTTTTCTAGGGTCTTGGCATGTGGCAACTGCAATGGAGAAAACATGGATCAAATCAAGGGACGAGTTCAGAACCCACCATTCCCACATATTCCCACCGAGTTCCCTTCATGGCAACCTGTTTTGTCCCAATTTGTCCCGGATGCCTGACGTATCCTGAGGGAGGTGCTCTTTCCGGGCCTGGACTCGAAACCTTCGCTTCAGAGTGACTGGGACCCAACCTTAGAATAAACTATGATTGATGACCTGCAATGAAGATGACGCATGACTTGCGGCGGAGTCCTAAGGGTCGATCTCTCCAGAATACGCTTCTCTAAATCCAGGAGCTGCAAGGAAATCAGGCGGTTCCCTTTTGGGGTCTTGATCATTCAATGCAGTGACCTGGAGAGTGCACATCAGTCCTTAACCTAAAATCCAAACCCAAAGGACCTGGAAAGGACTGGCGGCCCTGACTCATAGAGAGTCGTGTGCTCGCAGCTTCCAGAGATGCCTGGACATCAGTAGAGTGGCGCGGCGCATTTGTGCGCGTCCAAAGCTTCCTGGGGAATCTTGTATGAACGAAATAATGTGTATATATAGTATATAATACCGTATACCAGCACCACCAACCCTTGACTATGTATTTATATAAATGTATTTACCACAATAACCATCAAGTCCAGCCTCCCCGCGGCTGGCATCACTGGGCGAGATGTAGAGAAGCCTTGGCACCGAGATGGAGCGCTCTCGGCCCACCTGTCCATTGACAGGTCTTCACCTCCAAGATCACATGAGGCACATAAATTTCAGCTTTTTGATCCTGTTTGCTGTGACCGTTTTGCACTCTGGAACAACCGACACACAGTTTAAAGGCCTAAAACATCTAGCTCCCAGTCCACGTAAATCAAATCCATGGTCACGCCATGCATTCCAACCTGTCCAGCGGATGCTAGACCTCCCTCCACTTGATAGGCCACAAAATTGCTCTCTACACCCGCAGAATGGAGTGCTACACTGGAGTGCCACAGTACCACCTGAAATCCGCTTTGAAGTGGCACAAGCTACTAGAAACAAAGGGCATCGCTACTAGGAGCAAGGATGCTACTAGTAGCTCCTGGCCTTACTACTAGTAACAAGAAGCTACTACTTGTTATATTCTCACCAGGTGATTTTGTGCGGCATCTTTCTTAGCTTCGTGCAAGAACAGGAGCGGCAGCATGGCACCTCAGGCCACTTTCAAGGGTGGACGTCGTCTGAATTGAGTATTGATGTGTTTTCCTCAAGTGAGAAAAGCAATTTCAGTTCCTAAGGATTCACATACCTTCTCGTACTTCGACCCTCCATGACACCAAGCCTACATAAAAGTGCTCTCCGAGCATATGTGGATCCATAGGGCATGAATACCAGTTCTGCTGACTCCGTCAAACGTGGTTGGGTGAAATGGCTGTGGCCAACCAATGTACGGTCACAGGGTCTGCTCCGGCTCCACCAAAGCATAGAAACCCAAACGAAGCCTTGGTGTGCAATCCATGGAGTGTCCAGTCATTTGTGTTCATACCAAAACTGTTGGTGAAGTCTTATTTATGAGTTCTGTTCTTTGACACTGCTTTCTGTTCTTTGACACTGCCGACACCAACTCTTGAAGTTGCAGATTGCTGAAAACCATATACAGTGTACAGTATTCCTATACGCATACCTCGGAGTGCAGGTGATACGCATCGTGTATGTGTAGCCTTCTCAAACAATGCTGTTTTCCCCAATGAATAACCACAATAAAGAAACATGGTCGTATTGTCCTCCCAATGTTCTATAGTGGGCTAATGTGGGCTATGTTAAGGTCACTATCATATCGTTTATAAGAAGTGTAAGAAGACCCGAATTGAATGATATGCATGGATCACCGAGCTGGTGGACCAGCGACCCCCTCACACACGTCAAGCAGTGGCTTTTGGAAAAAGAGGGCCCGCGTCTCAACCCTAAAAACCCTTCTGGGTGCGAGCACGCGAGCCGGCTGCCTGAGAGGCCTGACATCACCAAGACAAAAAAACACAAAGGATCGAAGATGACTTTGTGGCGATGCCTTTGTTACTAGTAGCGTCATTGCTACTAATAGCGATGGCCTCCACCCTAGTAGCGATGGCCTCCAACCTATAGTAGCGTCCTTGTTATCTTGTTGTTAGTAATGTCGAAGGATCGAAGAAGTTGAATGAAACACCCCATGATGTAGATGACATGATGCCAAATGAGGGATGAAGTTGACAAATGATACCAAACACTCCACCCGGACCCGACACCTTCGTAGGGGACGGGGACCATCTCACCTTCTCCCTCCCTGGCAGGCGGGACCTGGACCCGAACCAAGCCCTTTCCATTGGTGAAGGGTCCGGATTCTGAGAGAAAACAGTTTGTTAATTATATATATATATATACCAGGAGTCACAAAGGGGTCTCCAAGTGAGTGGATAATGGGCACCCCTAACCTCCATTAAGCACCCCTTTGTGACTGCTGGTATATGACCTTCCAACTTTTTAGATAAAAATGGAAATGGATGGCGTGGACCCTTGGCTGCTTTCTTTTCCAGGACGAATAGGGTGCTTCCCACTTCCAGATGGAGATTCCAGCGTGAACTTATGATATGTCTGAACCTCGTGCGACTGAGGTTCAGGGCTCGTGAACACCATGACCCTTCAAACCCTCGTTGTAAAAAGATGTCTCAAAACAAAAAACATTTCTCTATTATATAATACCCCGGCAGTTGGAAATGTATGTAAAGACTGCTCAGGAACCTTCGTCTGAGGCAAATCCCCTAAAGTCACATCATTTGAAGAATGGCTGGAAGGAGCCAATCAGCTGATGGGACCGAATCCAACCTTAAATTCATCTTTTAGAGAAACCGACAGGGGCCTCCATGGCAGGGGTCCGGACCTGAACCTAAACCTATGTGTTGCGAAGCGGGCCCAGATTCATGGGGCTGAAACATATATACGTACTGATTGGGTTATCTAGAGCTTCCAGTCTCCACTTTGAGCGTCCCTTCTCTTCCTCGGCCCCTGATGACCCAGCACCTGACATAGATCCATCCGAGACCGGGCCCGGCTGGGGAGCCCATGTGGCGGCAAGTGAGTCGAGCAAATCCATGTGGCACACAGCCATGAAGCAGTCAATTGGTACCGGTTGCCTTATCAAACCTCCACCATCCTTCACCCAAGTTGTTTTTCGCCAAATCTACGAAGAAATCGCCCTTGCACCAAGAACATCGATCAAACATCTCTCAGTTGGGGCGAACAAATCGCCATCGATCCTCAAATTTGGTCGGTCCTTGGGCCCTTCAGGGCATGCATCCCATGAGACCTCAGTTCATCAGCGGATCTTCATCACGGCGTTGGACGACCGGGTCGTTCATCCAACGGATTGCCGAAAGGACCCGGTCGTCGGAAGTGGTGAAGCCTTACACGAGCGGCTGTCAAAACCGGTCGTGGCATCTGCCTCTGTTGTAAGACGCGAACACAATGGCAGCTTACGCTTACCCAGTTCTTGCAAGAAGGGGCCAACACGCAAGACAAACACGCAACACACAAACACGCCAGACTGATGATCAAGGTCTGCCAAGTCTGATGGTCAAAGTCCCTCAAAGTCTGATCACAGCAATTATAACATAAACCATCAAATCATTAAATTACCCACACCTGTGAGTCTCCAGGAAAAATTATCTCTAATGACAGGCGCTCTCCAACAGTATATTGAGCGACGTGCAACACCTCTTATGTGTTGTAGTGCGCACTCTTCCCAACGTTATCATTTTTTCTGTGAACCTGACCGTTCCTGAGGGTTTCACACACCTAACAACATGTACTACTGTAAAACCTTATCGTTTTTTGTGAACCTTATCGTTCCTGAAAGCTTCCCTCACTTTACTTACTGTACTTAGTCTTCACTGTAGTGATGCTGCCTTCATCGAAGGTTTTGGCTTGGCAGCTCATATAGCCAATGCTTTGGAGACAAGAATGGGTTTCATTACTTGGCACTCACAATTCCGCATCTCCAGTTCTCCTCATTTGGTTCGACACTGATTCGACACGCTCAAGTTGGGGATGGCAGAGAATTGAGTGAAACAAAACAAAACATACGATCCACACGTCACCACACCACGGTCCCAGGTCCACGCGTCTCAGGTCCATTCTGGGCCCCCCTGCGATGTCCATTGGGACTTGCACCACCACAGGTGATCATCTCTCGCAAGCCAATGTGACCCCTACGCGATCATTGCTCGTGCGAGTTGACCGTTCCCGACGAGGTCGTGCTCGTGCTCGTGTACCGGCCCGGTTGACCGTCTGACCGTCCAACAGTTGTCACGTCCTGGTTACGTGGATGGCATGGCATGGCCCCGAACGGATGACCAAAAAATACGAAAACCAAACAGGTGGTTTCACTCCACTTCCATGATTATGTCAGATGATTTCTCACTTAGTACATTTCTCCCACAGCTGTTCATCGCCAACAACAGAGACGCTCATGGCCGATGGTTGAACAAAAAGACCATCAAAGACCCTTAGTGAGTGGCCCACGGCAGTCCGGGGATCCAAGACATTGACTCCCCAACCGTTCGATGGTGCAGCACTCCACAACCAACAGGAAGAACCGACCATGAAATTAATCTGAAGGGCAGGCATCCTAGACAAACATCTTCAAGATCAATAGTCAAAACAAGAAAAAACACACACACAATCTCTTCCCTTCGCGTCACCATGACCCCTCCCAACTGCCAAAACAAACAACTCGCCTAGTGAGGCGCTCGATAGCACCTCAGAGTATCCCCACGGTGGAGGGAACGGTGGTATCATCATGTTTCATCTTTCAGGTGTTCCTGTTTTTTTCTTCACAGCAGCGTGATCAAGGAAGAGACTCTAGAAGAACAACGGGTACCAGGATCTGAGGGTTCCGGTACTGTAGATCATTACCAGTACAAGTCTGGCAAGTGCACAGGGCACGCAAGCAAAGGTCCATCGTTCATGTCTAAGTTAAGTGTTCAACCCCTTCGTTGGATTTATATGGGTGTTGATCTAAATTCCTTCATCCAAGATCCGTCCTTCTTAGCCAAAAAATATGTTAACCAAATTGTCGCCTTCCTGCGTTTTATCTTTCGCCGAAGTATGTTGTATTTATGTTGGCCATATATGTTGTATGACGGATATATTTTTTGTCAATTGTTTTTCATCTTTTTCTGTACTGGCAGATACGAAATAAAAGCTTCACTGTTTGTCAGCATGTGTCTTCTACTTATATAACTGTTGACACCCTGTCCGTCTCTGTTTCTCCTGGGTGTCTGCAAGAACCAAAACTTGCAAGAACCATTGTGGTAGCCGGTCGCTCACACTTACTCATCATGGGCTGGGGTCAGACGTGGCAGGGTGAACTTTCGCCAATCTTGAGCTGAACTTTCGCCAACCTTTCGCCTTTTGCGGGGGCAGAGACGCGCCCCCAAAGCAGCAGGAGTAGTAGTAGTAGTAGCAGCACCAGCAACAGCAGGAGTAGTAGTAGTAGTCGTCGTCGTCGTCGCAGCAGCACCGGCAGGAGTAGTAGTAGTAGTAGTAGTAGTAGTAGTAGTAGTAGTAGTAGTAG